GCAGAGGAGATGGAAGGGTGAATGAGGCTGGGGGAGTCAAGGTGCAGAGGGCTCCGCGATAGACTTACCCCAAGAGAGGCCTGAGGGTAGGAGAGCAGGCTAGGAGACCACATAATTTTTTACATTTATTTATTTGTGTATGGTAGAGTCCCTACTGGAGTGTGCTTGCTACAGCGTGTTCATAGAGGTCAGAGGACAACTTTCAGGAGTCGATTTCGTCCATCATGTGGGTCCTGGGGATCAAACTCAGGTCATCAGACTTAGCAGCAGGAAGTGCTTTTACCCACTGAGCCATTTTGGCAGCCCTACATAATTTCTTAAATGCCTGTATTAGTTACTTTTTTTGTTGTTGTGACCAAAATACCTGACTAGAAGCAATGTAGTGAAGGAAGGGCTTCTTTGGGCTTACAGTTAGAAGGTAGACAATCCAGCATGGCAAGGCATCATAGTAGCAGGAGTGTTAGGCAGCTGGTTTCATCGCATAAGCAGTCAGAGAGCATAGAAAGATGAGTGCTGGTGCTCAGCTCGTTATCTCCTTTTTATTCAGTCCAGAATACCCACCTGTGTGTGGTACCGCCTGCATTTAGGGTTAGCCTTCCCTCTGTAATCATACTTTTTTTTTATAAAGACTTTTTATGCATGAGTGGTATGTGTGCACATGTGTGCTGTTGGACATGCCTGTGTGCAGTCATAGAAGCCGGGGGGGGGGGATGTCAGGTGTCCTGCTCTATCATTTTTTGCCTTATTCCATTGAGACAAGGTCTCTCACTAAACCTAGAGCCAGGCTAGCAGCCAACAAGCCCCAGCAATCTTCCTATCTCTATCCCCCAATTCCCAGTGCTGAGGTTACAGTCATGTGTGTGCATACCCAGCTGTTTTACATGGGTTCTAGTGATTTAAACTCAGATCTTCATGCTTACATAACAACCTGCTGAGTCATATCCTTGGCCCCAGGCTGTAAGTTTTTTGTTTGTTTGGTTGGCTGGTTGGTTTTGAAAGAACATTTGCACAAATTACCTCATATGCTCATTTAAATGGGTCTAATACAGCAAGATAGTTGGTATTTCCTCTGACATAAGGATAAAGAAAATGAAGCTAATGAAAGGTAAATACCGAGTGAAAATTACAGATTATTTAGAGCTTGAAGAAGGACTTTACCACCTGGGGAAACTCCTACTCATTCATTTACAATATTGATTACCTAATTTGTACTAAATCCTGTATTAGAAGATATAGAGTCTGGTTTAGTGGATATGTACTGTTAAGATACATGGGTAATTACATATCCTAATGGCTGGTAAATAGATATTGCACCAGTCCACCATGTGACTCTTTCCTGGTATTCTTAGCAACCCCACTTACCTCAACACAGCATCTGAAAGGGGACCCTCAAGGACTGTACTCTGACTCTGTAGCCAATTTCTCTTAGGATAATCAATACCCTGGTATATTAGTGGTATTTTTCTGGGAAACAACAACAACAAAAAAAAAACAACTTTAAAGCACTAGAGATGTGACATGTGACTTGCCCCAAACCTATGTTTATAGACAGGTGACGTTAAACTCCAGATCCTCCTGCCTCCACCTCCCAATTGCTTGGATTATAGGCATGTGGCACCACCCCAACCAAATATCATTTCTTTATATGCTCAAATTCAAAGGTTTTAATCACTGCACTGTATCACAAAGTACTGTATATATAAGAATGCTTAACTGCACCACCAGAATGTTTTCAGGCTTCACCAGTATAACATTCTTTCAGTTTTGTTGGGAAAGAGAGTGAGCATTGTCCAGTGGTAAGCTAACAGCATCTCCAGAAAGATACTGACACATTACCAGATGTGGTGGTGCTTGCCTTTAATACCAGCACTTGGGACGCAGAGGCAGATGATCTCTGAGTTTGAGGCCATGCTGGTCTACATAGGGAATTCCAGGCCAGCTGGGACTGTAGGGAGATCCTGTCTCAAAAAACAGATGAAAGAAAAGACACTCGCAGGCACTGTGCAGTCTTCCTTTTATGGGGTAAACTTCTCAGCAGGCAGGGTAGGACCCTCAAACTCTTGTGGTGAAGAGCAGAAAGTTAGAACAGCAGTAAGCTAAATATAACTTTTCTGAACTTTTGGCCTATTTTAGTAGAAACTCATGAAGTTTTTACTGTAGAAAGCTCAGTTTTTGGCAAAGAAAAACATACTTTACTTAAAATAGTTACTAAGTTACTTAAAATATATAGTTATTAAGTATTGACAAAACTATTAGAATATTGAATGTTTTTGTAATAATTTTCTCACTTTTAGTAATCCCTGACTTATCCTAGTACTATTTTTAAATATAAAATAAAGCTTCATATTATTTTAGCTATCCCTGAAAAAACAGCCAAATAGAACAGTAGATACTCTCATGTATAGAAGGTATAAAGTGATATGATCAGAGGAATAGAATCTCAGGTTAGAGCCAAAGACTGTATGCATTTCTAAGAAGGTATGCCAAAGTCATACATAAAATTTAAAGATACCATTGTTGGAGTATGTTAGTTTGCCTTTTAGGATACAAGATGGCCCCCTAACCCTAGGGAACCAACTACCCCTCTCTCACAGGGCTGATCACGTGATTTACAGGAATACTAGTCCCCGATCAGTAAAATGAAACTGTAAACCGAAACCTAAGCTATCTGCCCATGTATGACCTGATCATTGTACTCTCTCCTGAATGACTTAAGAATCCTATATAAGCTCACTGTTTCTTCAGTAAAGTAGATCTACGTCTCTGAACCTCTTCTGTGTCTGAATGTGGCTTTGCTGATGCAGCCTTCTCACCAGGCCTGGGGTCCGAGATCAGGCAGCGGCAGCGGGAGTGAGCGGCCATGACCATGAAGGCGGCCCAAACGGATGGCTGCATACCATGTTTAAAAATCTGAACTCATAATGCTAATTACTCTTGCCTTTACTTCTCCTTCACATCTCCCATTCATGATTCAAGGACTTTCTTCTTCCCTTAGAGCAGCGGGAGTGAGCGGCCATGACCATGAAGGCGGCCCAAACAGATGGCTGCATACCATGTTTAAAAATCTGAACTCGTAATGCTCTTGCCTTTACTTCTCCTTCACATCTCCCATTCATGATTCAAGGACT